TATTAGTCAGCCATAAAGAAGAATGAAATTATGGCATTTGTCAGTAAATTGATGCAACTGGAGAACATCATGCTAAGTGAAATAAGCCAGTCCCCAAAAAGCAAAGGCTGAATGTTCTCGATACGTGGAGGCTAACCCCCAACAAGGGAGGGTGTGTGTGGGGAAAGAATAGAAGTCCTTTGGATTAGACAAAAGGGAATGAAGGGAAAGAATTGAAGTCCATTGGATTAGACAAAAGGGAATGAAGGGAAAGAAAGGGGAGGGGAATAGAAAAGACAGTAGAATTAATCTGACATAATTTTCCTATCCCTGTATATGGATTCAAAACCAGGGTAACTCCACATCATGTACAACCACAAGAATAGGATCCTAATTAGAGTGAGTTATACTCCATGTATGTACAATATGTCAAAATATACCCTACTGTCATCCATATCTAAAAAGAACATTAAAAAAAGAAAGTAGGGTTGATATCACACTCCAAATAAGGGTCATTTACCATAAAATAGAATAAAGGACAAAAAGATTAAAAAAATAAACATTTTGGGGGTGCAGAAAAGTCAAAAATATTGTAAATGTTTGAAAATAGGAAAAAGTTTACTATGCAAGCATTAAGCAACAGAGTTGGAGTGGCTGTACCCAGATCAGACAAATTTGACCTTAAGACAAAACTTGACATTAGAGATAAGAACAGTTCTAAAAGATAAAAATGCTAACCCATCAGGAAGACATACCTACTGGAGTCATGTAAGAACCTAATAAGAGAGATCCAAAATCTGTAAGGGAAAATCAGAAAGAATCAAAGAGTGAAATAGACAATTTAACAATCATTAATAACTTTAATATCCTACTTTCAATAATAGATAGAATAAATAGGCAGAAGATCAACAACAAAAAAATTAAGACTTTAAAAACTGTAACTATACCTATTAAATGAGCTATAGAACATTGGCCTAAGACTATTTCTCTACTTTGAGTTGCAATGTCACAAACTGCAACCTAGCTCAGAGTATAAGCAAGATGAAACCTGACCTGGGTGTCAGCCCATCTCAAACAGCCAGGCATCAGCAATAGGAGGTGACCAATAGAACAGACCACGCCCAAATGCTTCATCATGTCATGCCCAGATAAGGCAGATATCTAGCTAGAGCTAATTTAATGATTCCTCTACTTTGCTTCCATGATGGACTCATAAAAGACAAATTAAACCTTATAGAAAAATTGGTATTGGAGAAATAGAACATTTTCTATGGATAAAAATGTTAACCCATCTACTTGGTGTCCATGTTTGGCTGATGAAAGCTCATTGCTTGCACCATTGAGCTGAGCTGTGTGAACTGCTTCTGACTCTGAGTGTTGTTGCCCTTGTCATGAATTATTCTTTGCTCAAATTATGCTTTGATAAATAAATAAATAAGAGAAATAAGCTATCATGTTTTTTCTCAAGTTTGTTCTTTTTATCCAGTATTTTGTTGTCTGTTTTAGGTATTTTATCTTACTTTTCCACATAAATTTTAGAATCATTTTATTGATGTCTTCACAGTAACTTGCTGGTATTTTAATGGGATGACACTGACACTGTAGATTAAGCTGAAAATAAATGACAGCTTAAAACAAGTTAAGTCTTCCAATCCAGGAACACAGCGTCTCTGTTTAGATTTTTAGTATTTCTTTCATTAGAACTTTATAGTTTCCCATATAGATATCTCATACATATTTTGTTAGATTATAGCTAAGCATTTCATTTTTGGTACTATTGTAAAAATAATATTGTGTTTAAATTTCAAATACCAACCGCCAACTACTCATGTATGGGAAAGCGCTGACTTTTGCCTATTGACCTGGTGTCTTCTGACCTTGCTATCTTCACTTATTGGTTCCAGAATTTTTTGTTGTATTGGTGATTCTTTGGGACTTTCCCCACAAACCATATGTCATCTACAAATAAAGTTTTTTTTTTCTTTCTTCCTGATTTGTTCACCTTTTATTTTCTTTCCTTGTCTTATCCCATTAGCCAAGATTTTCAGAACCACATTGAACAGAAGTAGTTCGAGAAGATGTCTTTTCTTTGTTCCTGAATACAGAGAAAACATTCAGTTTCCTACTATTCTGATCTCAACTGTAGGTATTTGTAGGTATTCTTTATCAAGTTGAGGTAGTTTTCCTCTTCTAAGATATATATTTTATATTCTTTCAAACTGTATTTCCCCTTAAGTTTCAGTATTCTATGAGTGATGTTCCTGGTATTTGCCCATGGTTGGTCATTTCCTTTTATGCTCTGTAATCTCATGAGTTTTTTTTTTGTTGTTGTTGTTTGTTTGTTTCTGTGTAAGTATAAACTATTCTCTGCTCACAAAGATGCACCTATTACTGAATTTGCATAATTGTATACCTTGAGTGGAATTTGAAAGGAAGTAACTAGTTCAATCTTTAATATTTCCTTTAAAAAATCTCTTATTATCCATGGACCTAGGAGGCAAAGTTTAGAGGCCAGTAATAGACCTGAATTCAGCTTTTTGGCTAGCTACAGAATCTTAAGTTCTTCAATACAAAATTTAATTTAATGTTACTTTATTTTATTTAAAAACTAAGATTGTAAAGTTCACCATTTATTTTTACTAAAAGTGTTTAAAGAAAGTTCAACACCTTCATATTACCAAGTCTGTGAACTCCTAGAATGGTATTGCAAACGAATGTTAAGGTGGTGCCCTAACTCTGCCTCCTGATATTCATACTTTTTTCTAAATCCTGCTTCTTCAGGGTAGGGCCTGGGACTTGCTTCTAGCAAATAGGCTATGGCACATTTGATAGGATGTGACTCCTTGATTATGTTTTGCTACATAGCAAAGGTGACCGGATGCCACTCAAATGATTGTATTACACTCTATGGCAAAGTGAGGAGAAGTCACTTCAGTGATTATGTTACATTAAATGGCAAAGAATATGGATTTCACCCTTGTGATTACATTGTTTGAAGACTCTTGTCTTGCTGGAAGCCTCTCTGTCTTTTGCCAGCTTCAAAAAAAAGTAAGCTGTCATGAATCTTTCAGCCATAGGAAGTTATTTGGATAACAACCTAAGGGAGCTTAAACGTGTGGCCTTCCCCAGTTGAGAGTGAGAGCTCATCTCCTGATCCACAGAAACTTACCGGTAATAAATACAAGCTAAGCCTCTACGTTCACAGTAATTTGTTGAATAGCAATATTCAGTAAATATAAGCACCAAGTTTCAGTACGTGGGTAATGTCTTTTAAAGGCTTCATAGAAGTGTCAAGAGGCGACCAGGTTTAAAAAACTAAAGTCTGCTTTCAAAACATTCATCTCATTTGACTAGAAAACTAAAAAGACAGAAAAAGAGAAAGGAAGAAGGAAAAAAATCTCCTTTTCTGAAAAGCCTTCTTTATTTCAGAAAGGCACTGGATTTTGATTTCATAGTCCACAGTTATGTAAGGAAACAAATATAAAATAACAATACTTTTATGATCTGCAGGCTTAATGTAGTAATGCACTATTTACTCTGTTTGTATACATTCATGAATACTTATACTTTATGATAAGCTGTACACACAAACTGTCCAAGTTTGATGTCTTCAGTTCAAACTCGGATTTTTAACACTATTTATATCAGGCACCTAAGATATAAAAGTATTGCATAGTTGAAAGTGAGGATTAAAAGTTCATTTCAAAAAGCATATTTTCTACCTGTTTGACACAGTTATGGTCATTCAGCCATATGATAAAGTAATTCCCAAAATACTTGACACAAATTTAGTTTATCAAATATCATTCTACAAAAAAGTCAGACTCAGGCTAAAAAGCTATGCTGTGAAAAACTGACCCACATTTCCACTAAACAGCTTGTGAACACACCAAATATGACATCCCCTCCCTTCCTGTACCTTGGTTAACCAGCTTTGCTTTTTTCCCAGAACATAGATCAAACTCTTGACTTTTCTTATTACAGACTGAAGTGATACTTGCTCTGTCCCTTCCCTACCCCCATTTTGCATATGACATTTACCGTCATAAAGAAGTATTACACTTCTGTATTAATGCCGCAAAAAAGCAAATGACCTATAGACTCTGCTTTCCCAGGTGACCTGTGGTAGTTCCCTAAGCATTTTTTTCTCATCATAGAATTTGAAACCATCTCTCCCAAAATGAATGTCTTTCTCCTGAGCTTTGTGAAATAAGGTTAATGGGAGATGCTGCCTTTATGTAAGCTGATCTTTAACATGATAATTCTAGAGAACAAGAGATAAACAATACCATTTAGATTATACATGGTTTTCAAGTTCTTACTAGGTTTTAAGGTGTTTATATATGAAAACTTGCTTATGAAAGCCAGGAGAATCACCCTAAACATTTGCTTTCCTCCGTACCAAGACTATATGCTTTTCTATGCAGTATCTACAATTTGAATTTTAATCTTTTCTCTCAGGGGAATAAAAAGTACTCTGAGGATAACTATAATGAACCAGCAACAAAGTAAATTATATCTAGAGAGACTCAGAGGATAGGCTAGAAGCAGGAAAAACTGGCTTCCAATTTCAGCCCTGCCACTGCCTAGCCCTGTGACTTTGAGATGGCTCTGAATTTCTGCCACCTTAACTCTGTGCCCTACATCCACTGTTCCAGAATCATACTGAAGTGCCTTTATTTAGTCTATCAGACATTCAGCAAATGGTAGGCAGGATTGCTATTGTGCCTGAGAAAGGTGCTATACCCTGCCTTTCATCTGAATGACTTTCATGCAGATTCCACTGGGTGTTTGTAATCAGAAGAACAAAAAGCATGCCCCACCTAAAAACCTTTTTATATCTTATTATTTACTTCCTATCATACAAGCTTCCTTACCCCACCCTACTTTTTTTTTCTGAAAATGACTAATTCTTAACCCCAAGTTTACACACACACACACAGCTTAAAATCAGTGAGGACTTATTTTAAAGATTTTTTTAAATCCAGATTTTTTTTACTTAAGAACAATTGTATCACCAGAACAAAGAAGTCATGGATTTTAATGAATATTGAATAAAATATAGCATGATTGAAAAAATGTAATTGATACAAATGAATAAAGAATGCTGAGATGATCATCATTTGGAATACGTAGAATAGAAATATGTGAAAAAAAATCTACAGGAGGGAAATTGTTTTCTGAACTCTTAACTTTCTGGATTTTGGACACTTAAAAAAAAAATAGTCACCAAGCGATAGGATGCTGAGAATCCCAGACTGTTGTTAACGCTCAGGCAGAATGAAAATTGAATTGGACAAAGAGAATGAGATCCCCACTCCTTTTGTTTAGACATCCTATAACAAGAATCTTTTTTATGGTCTTCCTTGGTACCCATCTCATACCTTATCTTTCACATGAAGTGCAACCTCTTATATTAAACCTTACACTTTATGCTTTATTATGAGTATGGATGTAAATCTTTGCTTATAACCCTTTAAATATCTGAACAGAACCATTCAAACCTGCCTTATCCTGGGGCTCTCCAGAGGCTACTGAGCTTAAGCAAACAAGGTTTTGTAACCAAATTATTATATTCTGTCACTCCCTATTCACACTTGACTCCAAAAATTCTCAATTTTTCATATGCATAATCTGGAAAGTAAACATTACTCCTTGCATTACTCCTGTGAACAGGCAGCATCAGAATCAGGCACTTGCATTAATTTGTTTTACTACCTAACTTATTACTTAATTTCCCTAAGGCCTGTTTTGAACTTGAACTGCTCTGGTTGAAAAATGATTCAGAAATAAAAATAACGTCATGAAATTTTAAATAGAGGTCACCATTGCTGTGAAATGGGATGTCAGTTTTGCAATCCATCCACACTTTCCCACCGAGCTGGGTGGAGCTGATCTGGTGGAGTCCAGTGACTACTGTGAAATGGGCCAATCCAAAAGGGCAGAATGACCCATCAAAAGCGACTCTCTTCCTCTTCCACAGCTCGGTGAAGGCCAGGAATGAATTTCAAGAGTTGTTTGCGGACACTTCCCCTTCTGCTTTTCCTGGGCAGAGTCCCAAACATGCTTGAGTAATTGTCTTCCCACAGGGGAGACAGGGACCCATTGCTGGTGGCACTGATGCTCCGATTCCGCCTTGAAGAAGCCCTCCTCAGAAAATCCTCCCCATCCCTGGAGACGAAGCACTCATCATCAGTGCTTGTCTGCCGGCTGAAGGCACCCCGGTTTGAGTCCTCGGACACACTTGTCCCGTAGCCGTCCTCACTGTCCACTGTCATGGAGCTCAGCCAGCTCTTACAGCTGCTCTCGCTGGATAAGCGATTCCGGTCCAGGAGGTCTGAGGCTGGCCCAGGCAGGATTCCAAACAAAGACAAATCATCCATGTCCATGTTTTCTAAACTTGGGCAGCTACCTGCGTCACCTAGAACACAAAGAACAAAGTCGGCTGTGGAATGGATTTGATCATCGGTCACTACAAAGTCTCCAATATTTTTTTTTCTTTAAAGAGCATAAGAATAGCCGGGCACTTTGGTGCACGTCAGTACTCCCAGTGGCTCAGGAGGTTGAGGCAGGAGGATCCATAGTTCAAAACCAACCTCAGCAACTTGGCAAGACCCTAAGCAACTCAGTGAGACCCTGTTTCTAAATAAAATACAAAAAAAAAGAAAAAAGGGCAGGGATGTGGCTCAGTGGCTAAGTGCCCCTGGGTTCAGTCCCTGGTACAAAAAAATGAAAACAAAAAGCTATAAGAATATTTCCTCTGTGCTTTGTCATAGATGAATAAGCATACATAAATAAGGCATTGCTTGAGGTCATTTGATAGACCATGTAGGAAGGTTTCGTGCACTAGCTTCCAAGGGAAAGTTTTCATGGTCAGAAAATTATAATGTCAGGATAACTTTAAATAAAATGCTTCATGCCGTATTTTGCATCTGGAATGTCCTCCAAAGATCAAAGTGGTTAAGGCTTGATTCCTAGCATGGAGCTGCTGTGAGGTTTTATGTCATATGGGGGAAAGGGAGTCTTCAAATTTGATTATGGGGTCTTGGATTCTTACTTTTTCTCCTGTTCACTTCCTGGCCATGAGGAGATGGTTTTTGTCCTTCTACATGCACCCCCCCCCCCCATAATGTGCCACCATAGGTCCAAAGCAATGGGACCGTCCCATCCACCATGAACTGAAACCTCCAAAACTATGAGCCAAAATAAACTTATTCTCTTCATAAGTTGATTATCTCAAGTAATATTGACAGTAAACTAGCATTCTTCACATGAGAACTGTTTGACCCAGCTGAGAGTATGTCATTATGACATTTAAGTCACCAAATGACCACTTCCTACACTTAAGTGATCATGGAACATTTCATTAAAATTTTCACAGAAATGAGGTTAAAAAAAAACACTTGAGAAAATTCTGTCTTATGGATCTTCTAATTCAATTCCTCTGTTCTTAGTAATTTTTTTAAGTAATTGTAAGATTATTATAAATCCATTTGAAGTATATGGGAAACACAGTTATAAATCAGAGAATTCAACTCTGTTTATAACAGAAGGATTTATGAAGTCAAATATATCTTACAGCCTCAATATTCCACATTTTGTCTTGGAATATTTAAATGCTCTAGAATGGTACTGTACCTACAAAGCATCCCTGCCATCCAATTTATTTGAAGAAACTGAATTTTATCTGCTTGACTAAATTTTTTCCCTCAATCCGTTATAACCTATATCTGGATTCTCCAAACTGAAAAGTTCATCACACCCCAACTTCCTGTCTACACCTGCCTGCTGCGGAGCTGTTTAAGTTAGTTGCTGCTAAAAGAAAGGAGAGTATTTTTAATGCTGGTCTTAGAAAAGCATCATGAGAATGTGAATCTGCCTCAAGAGAGGTTCTAGAACATCACACACTCACAACACTCTTTTGTTTTGTGCTGATTATTCCCACTTCAGCTCTCCTTTGTCCTCCGTTGACAACATAAAAATAGTACTCTTTTTCCATTTGATCTGCAGGGTTGAACATAGCTAGCTGTGTAGTAACTAGTCATGCTTTACTTTCTTCTTCATATAACCTACACTCTTTCATTTTAAAGTGAGTTGATATATTTTCTTTGGTTCTATAATCAATTGCCTTGTAGAATCTCATCCCTTGGGTGTTTAGTTTTAGAAAAGGTAGACTAATAAACTCCCTCAATTTCCCAAAAGCTCTGAGACAATGACCTTCTGAGGATCCTGAATTGAGGATTTCATTCATGTGAGAGCCATTTTTGTAGAGCCCAAGGACTGCAACATTTGCCAGACTATTTGGGATACACCAGACATTGAGGTGAAGGCTCCTCAAATACTCTCATTTCTATGAAAGCCAGGAAGTGCCTGCAAAGATGTTTTTATATCTCAATCTAACAAATTTGAGACCCTCAGAAATGTCTTGTGAATTTTTAAAAATATTAACTGAATAACATAAAAAAGAGAAGTAACTGGTACATGTTTCAAAAACATCTAAGTTTCAACCCACATCACTAAGCTATAAATAAAGATCTAATTAGAGTTGAATCTGTTTAGATCAAATAAAGAACTCCAAAAACTAAAGAACAAAGAAATAAATAACCTGATTAAAAAATGGACAATAGACCTAGATAGACATTTCTCCAAAGAAGATATACAAATGGTTAACAAATATGTGGACAAAAATATTCTATATCATTAATCATCAAGGAAATTGCAAATCAAAACCACAATGAGATATCACCTTACTTCAATAACAATAGTCACTATTAAATAGACAAAAGATAACAAATTCTGGTGAGGATGTAGAGAGAAGAGAAGCACTGTAAACCAATGAAAGGAATGTAAATTAGTATAAGCATCATATGGAAAACATTATAGAGATTCCCCAAAAAATTTTAAAAAATATATGACTATCATATGCCCCAGTGATCTCACTACTATTTCTATACATCCAAAGGGAGAGAAATCAGTATGCTAAAGAGATATCTGTGTTTATTGCAGCACTATTCATAATAGCTAAGTAATGGAAACAACGTAAGTGTCCATCAAATGATGAATGAAGAAAGAAAACACCACAATTCACAATAGCTAGACTGTGGAACCAACCCAGATGCCCTTCAATAGATGAATGGATTAAAAAATGTGGCATTTATACACCATGGAATATTA